GTGAGGGAGTGGAAATGACCAAAGTATGCTGTATGCCAGGAAGAATATGCCTTACTGAAACTCAGTGTCCTGTACACCTGATATGCATGAGTAACCTTTTTCAAAGAATCACTATTCATTACACACTATAAAAGTGAGGGATGAGACTGTGAGTCTGAGGCAAAGGCAGCTAAAGAATTTTTGGAAACTCTGGATAACCTGACCGCAGAATAGAAGTACCTGCAGACTGTGATTGTTAATGATTGGACGAGCAACTTTCTGGGTGTGGCTGAAGGGATTTTACTGAAGACTAAAGACCCTCCCTGGGCGTGAGTGACAGCCAGCAGGCTTTCCCCTGAATGGATGGGAAGCTGAGAAGAATGCTAGCTTCTCTTTCTTCAGAGGAGCTCCGGTCTTCACCTTTACTGGGGACTTTGTCTCCTGTCTTCCAGTGCAGACTCTTCAGCCTCCAGCACTGACCCTGCAGCCTTCTGATGCAGGTCCTCCAGCCTCCTGATACAGACTCACACAGGACACTACACCGAGCTTCAGGCCTCTGACTGGGTCCCTCAGATCTCTGCTGCACAGAGAGCCCTTCTGCATCCTTTCACAACCGACTCTGCAGGCGGCCAATATAAGCAAAACTTGTAAATTCTTATATACTTTCTATATCTTGCATTAAATCTGTTTCTCTAGTAAGCACTGACTGCTACACAGACCAAATCTTCAGTCTAGATTAATCCTCCTCTTCTAGAAACGGGTGCCTGAAAGGACACTCATTCATAAGCAGGCCAAGCCCCATTTCAAGGCTCTTGAGGATAGCGTAATGACCTTGTTTGGGGACAATGTATCTGGCTATAAATGGAAGCCCTTTGTGATATGGCACGGTGAGCTCACAAAGGCAGTGCAGGGACTGTACCGTGTCTCTAAGTGCCCACTGCCGGTGTCCTGCAGGGGCCCGAGAAGTCATGTCCCAGCTTCTCCTCCAAGATGCCACCGCCCCCGAATTGCTGGGCCAGCCAAAAGGAGCACTGTTTGGGGAGTAACATGCCTTTCAAGATTTTACTTGTTTAGGTTTGTGTGACTACACTCTGATGTGTGCAACCACAAAATCACTAACATATTTCTCACAGTGTCTATTGTTAATAGCACATGACTGTACACATGGGAGAATTCTTCCAGACTATAGAGGAAGAAAACAAAAATATGAAAATGGTGAAATAGAGGTGAACAATACAAATGATTGAAAATGGAAATTCGTAGAAGAGTGACACTTTCTGAGGAAGAAACAAAGCCAATAATGCTGAAGAATAGTGATGCAAATAAACTAACTCTCTGCAGTGAGAAGTTTCCAAGTATATTATTAATAAAAACAGTACTATACCTAATTGTGTTTACTTTTAGGGAGCGCATCCAGACCTCACCCTCAAAGTAAACCTTTTATAATATCATTAAGTAGTTTGTTTGCCATTTGATAATTGTTTTTTAAAATTACTGGTCCTTTTATGTTAAGGACTTGATAGCAATGATTAAATAAATAACTTTTCAACTCCTTGCAAACATAGAACATTGCCTTATCCATGGAATCACTACACATTGGCCTTTTAATTATTTAACCACATAACGACCTGCTTACTATAGAATAAATTATGGGTGGTGCATGCCTATAATCCAGCACTCAAGAGCCTGAGGCAGGAAGATCACTGGGAGTTCAAGAACAATCTGGGCTAGGTAGTGAGTTTGAGGCTGGTATGAACTATGTGGTGAGACCCCACTTTTTAAAAAAGAAAAAGAAATTATGGTTTTTACTGACAAAGAAATAGAAAATTGATATTTTGTACCTCTGAAATCTATGTTACGTGGCCTGAAATTTGTGTTAAGGAAAGACTGATGAACCATCCTCTGGCAGACAGGATGTCATCAAGTCTTCTTGGTGCAGGCTGCACTGTGTAATTGCAAATGAGCCTCATAACCATGCATAAAAATAAACATTGGTCATACAAGTTTGTATCCTTTAGCTTCTGCAGTATAACACACTATCCCAAAATTTAGTGTCTTAAAACAACAATCATTTTGTTTGCTGATTTAGAAGAGAAAAGGTAATATTTTTTCATCTTTCTCAAGGTACATGACAGAGACTCATATAACAAAAGATAAATTAACAACAAAAAGGTGCATTTAACCAAGGCTTTCTATGACATACGAGCCTTCAGAAAGAAAGACCCCTCAAGCCAGGTAAACTATTTTTACGGACAGTCACACAGAAGAATGAGTGGAGGATGAGAGGGTAGAGATCCTCTCTTATGAGTATTATTAGCTGGGTTACCGAGGCTGCCTTAATGTCCTCAACTGATTCAAAATGTTTACTTTTCACAGTCACTTTGACTTTGGCAAAGAGCCCGAAGTTGCACAGTGCCAGATCTGGTGAAGAAGATGGACGAGGGCACATTGTAATGTTTTTACGAGCCTGCAGCATCCACTGTGGTTTTATCATGCCTCATAAGGGTACTCAGGACAGAAGACTTCCAGATCTGCCTCAGAAAGGGGCAAGGATGATGGGAGAAGTGTAGTCCAAGCAAGAAGGCATATTTTGATGGGTGTTAATAGCAATATGTCTTTTGCTGTAATGATTTTTTTATTTGAACACATTGTATTTTTTAGTCACTCTTGCTACATAAAAATCTGAATGTATGAAGGCTTGTCCCTGACTAAAGAAAATCAACCACAAAAAACACACATACCTAAATGATGCAAATTTTTAAATTATTTGAAACAATTAGGTGTGTACTTATGTTCATCACTTAAAAATGAAAAATGAGAAACAATCCTAAATGCCACTTTTAGGAGGCTAGCCAAGCAAGCGCATATAATGGAATATAATAGAACATTTTTTTAAAAATTCACTGAATTAGAAAAGACTCACTGAGATCAGAAAGTGCTCAGGATGAGTCTATGACAATTTTTTTTTTTTTCAGAAAGAAGCCTATCATGCATAAAACATTTTATCCGTAGAGATTGAACCCAGGGCCTCATGCATGCTAGGCAAGTGCTCTACATGCTGCCACATCTTCAGTCCTGTATATATTTTGGTTTTATACATAAATATATGTATGTATGAAGATACACAAACTCATATCATAGGGAGAAAACAGAACTAAATGAACATACTTAAATAGTGATCTGGTAATATTCTTATACTAGTGGGTCTTGGATATACCTGAAATAGGGATGAATACAGCAACCTGGGCCCTGAAGTAAGACAGACTTGGGTCTGAATAACTAGGTAAAGTACGGGACCCTTCTGTGTCTCAGTTTTCTCAACTATCAATTAGAGCAGAAACAGCTGTTCGTGGCTGCTGTGCTCATTTAAAAAGATAATGAACACTAAAGATTATTAATATTACCATGACTTGTTAAACAGTAATTTTATTCTCCCCACTTTTTGATGAAACTGGATTACTTTTCTATAATAACAAATGAACCTAAAAACAGCAAAAAAAAAAAAAAATTCTTGAAATTATTGGCCTCAAAGATTTTGCTTAAAGGTTAACTAAGCCCTGTTCAGATAGGAGCTCAGCCGACACCAGTGTTGCAGCCCTGCTTTAGTAAAGGACAAGCTCTCCATTCAGAGGCAAGCTGGGCCTCCCTACATCGAGGTGCCAGCCAGAAAGTGCCCTGTGGTACACAGTGAAGATAAAGCAGAGGATTCAGGTGGGACAGTTCCCTAACACGTACCTGCCAGGTACGAGTGCCCCTGATAGCTGGGACATCAACCCATGTCTGGTCAGATCTACTTCACTGCAGGCTTCTCCTGTGCCAGCAGCCCACCAACCTCAACAAGGAGCTTATAACAATATGTCCTGTTTCTCATAGGTTTCATTGACAGCATTGCTATGTGCTGCGTAAGGGAGGGAAGATTCTTTCCTCATCCATCACCATGTTCTTGGCTGAGGTTCCTATAACAAAAAGGTTAACAAGAGAAAAACATACACCTCTATTCAGTGGCAGTGCTATGTCTTACAGGAGCTTCAGAAATGAAGACCCAAATAAACAACAAAAACTGCATTTTATGCTAGGTTTGCCAGAGTGGAGAGTTGTGCAGGAGTATGATCGGACAAAGGAGCTGTGATCTAACTTAGGAAGGTTTGTTTGTTCCGATTCTCCTTTGTCCCCGTGTCTTCAGAGATAAGGCTGTTCCTCCCCTCCCAGGAGAGGGCGGCTCCTCCCTACTGAGGGTCTTAGGACCTTGCTCAGGGGAAGATTCTGAGTGTTATCTTCTGCCTCAGGGGAGAAGTTTTCTCAAATGTGATGGGGTCACATCAAAAGGAGTTTTCCCTTCTTTCCCTTTATGAGGGTCATTTTTTCTCACTAAGTCTCTACCTTTGTCTCTCCAAGTCTCCCCGTTGCCCAGAATCGGTGGTGTTTCTGGTCATACAGCTCTTTATTCTCATTCATCTTCTATTCCATTTACCTTCCTGGAACAGTGATCCCTCATATAATACTGCTCACCCCACTTTTCAGCCCAGGACCTCTTGTTTGACACACAAAAAGGATACCTATTCTGCAAATAAGAAAAAGCTTTTCTCAAAGAATGTAGTGAACGCTCCCACGACTCAGTCCCTACTGGTGTATTCAAGAATGTAGCGTAGAGAAACAAGAGATTAGCCTGCTTTATCTTACAGCTGGGAGTCACGAAAAGCCAAAGGCATTACAAAGGTCTGAGCCTAGTTCATAAATCTGCTCCCAGTACAGGGGCCTTGTTGGTGAAAAAAACATGAACCAAGGGACAGGTTCCCTTTATCGTGAAAATAAAAGAGCAGTCTGTTGACAAAAGGAGGAGGAAGAAAATACAAAGTACACTTTTGAAACATGAAGTCATAATAACAATTCATAGTCATTCAGAGAGGCTGAGTGGCCTTAGAGAATTCTATTATCCTGGCAGGAAGGAGGAAGTTAACACACATTCCTGTAATGAGGCTCACCCTCCTGGCCAGCCATACACAGACACACTCCAGACTCACCACAGCCTGCAGTGTGGGGTTAGTGCTTCTGTCCAGAGGATTCCTCTTCCAGAGGATTGGGACCACAGAACGCCAGAGCAGTACAGTTGCAAGAAGCCTTGTCTGTGTTTCCTGGGCCAGCCACAGGCATTCTTCTCCCGTTTTGGTGTTTGGAAAGGGATGGAGAAGGAGCCCATGGGCAGAAACATGGAGGACCTATAGATTTAGAAGAAATAAAAAGGAAGCCATGTGTTGAGCATTTCTCTGCAGCAGTGTGCAGCTTTACGCCTGTATAATTACAGTCCGATCATCAACACAGAAATTTACATTTGAGAGAAATGCAGAGTACAACTTTGTGTTTTAAAAAGAACTAGGGAAAAGCATCAAATGGCAATTTGGTTCTAGATGTGTGTGTGTGTGTGTGTGTGTGTGTGTGTGTAAAATGTATTATATATTACAATACATTGCCTTTGATGACCAAAAATTGAAACAGCACTTTCAAAGATTACATATTAAGGGTGTGGAATAAAAGACAACTTAGCAGTTAGGATGTGAATTTGAATGTGGATCTGATCACTGTCTGTATAAGGTGCTGCGAACAAACAATCCCGTCAATTGAACACCTACATTGGACCCAGACAGAGAGAGGAGTGTCCCAACCCTGGTGCCTGTACCAAAACTAAACTCTTCGGTTGGGTCCACTGGAACTAAGGCTTGTGCCAGATCAACAACAGGAATTCTAATTCCTAATATGCAAATCAGTGTAGACGTCTGGCTTTGTAGAAAGTCTGATTGAGACGCTTTGGAAACAGAGCTGCACTAGGCAAAATTATTAAGCAAGTCAAACTTCCCATTGACAAAACCTTTTCTTTGCCCTTCCTCCTCAATACTCAGGGCCGCCAAGGTGCCTGAAGTCCTTCCCACCTGTCAGTCACAATAGCATGTTAAAGGAACAGTCTGCTATGAGTTATTCATATCTTTTTCATGTGTATTTAAGTCCTTGTATTATTTCTCTGAGATGTCATATTTAAGCCTTGGTTTAACCTATGGATTTTTTTTTTAAGGGAAACAAGTATATTTGGCACATTTTGGGCATCTATATAATTACTCAAGTAAACTTTAGTCTTGGTTGTTTGCTCTTTTGGAGAAAAAAGACCCCAACCCCACCAACACTTGATTTAAAAAGTAATAGGTTTGGGCAGGGGTATGGAGAAAAAATAAGAACCAAGATACATCATGTAAAGGTACAAGATCCCAATGATGAATGTAACTGTACTGTATACCTAAAAAGTGCCAGTAAACTCAATGAAAATAAAAAGTAATAGGTTTGTCCAAACTCTGTGTGGCCAGGGATTGCTTTCATATGCTCACTCTAACTGAACCATAATAAATTACATTTTTCCAAGAAGAAACACAGAGCCTGGGAAATTTAAGGAGTATAATATTAACCTGGTATAAAAGGAAATTGAACATATAAAAAAATCAGTGCTGCTTTCCCTGCCTGTGTGACCAAATTATGTGTGGCATGGTGGGGAGTCCCTCTCCTCCCCTCATCGCCGGCAGCCTCAGTACCATACTTTCACTGGGCATCCCACAGTCCACCAGGTGTACCTGCCAAGCTCTGAGACTGTCTGGGAAGGGGAGAAGCCATCCTTTCTGCTCTTGAGGGTCTCAGAGACCACTGCAGTAGTCTCATTGTCGTACCGTAAACCACAAATCAGAACTGTGCATAGTTCCAAAACCTTGTTTCATTACATGGTTTTGATCTCCTTGCTCATCTGTCTGAAATAGTGGGCACAATCGTCCAAGAGTGACTGATTTCTCCTACTTCTTCTTTTAGGAGGAAAGGAGTACTAAATAGTCACAGGCACGTTAACAAGAAAAAAACAACAACTAAGTCATGAACAACAATAATAATAAATGGAAAGCTAAATTATTAACACACTGCACCAGGTGGTTTACAAAATGCTTTCTGTCACATTATTCCTGCTACTAGATTTGTTCAAAAGATTGTAGTCACAGTAAAAGGACTGTTATTGCTAAGATTCTTCTGTAAGTAGCTAAATTCATTTTATCAGAAAGCACATGACCTACAGCTTCTTGGCTCCCCCTCTCCACACAACAGGGACTTAGTCAGCGAGCAGTGTCACTGTGGGTGTGACTCACAACGCCAGGAGAGAACTGAGGACTTCTTTCAACTAGATAGCAGAGTGTGAAGGAGGCTTGGCGTGGTCAGGGTGACACTTCCTTCCCCTGAGCACAACAGGAAGGTGCAGTCAGTGGAGCAAGTCCCCGGCAGCTTCTGTGTCCCGAGTCAGCCTCATAAGGTAACTGGTGACTGGGGGGTTGTGTCCCTTCTTCCTTCACGGATTAAATCAATCTAAACTTTCTCTGACTCCCTCGCTGCTGCTGTTTTTCTGGGATGCAGCAGGTCAGAAGGCAGTAAGTGGAGCTGAGTCCCTCTCCCCAGAGCAGCGATCTCTGTGTGACCCAGGTCCTGTCTTCCACTCCACCTGGTCTCTCTGTGGATGCTCTTTTGTACCCTCGAGTCACAGGCAAATTCACCTCTTGTGCTTACTCTGTCCGTGCCTTTCTGACATCCTCTATGAATCCTATGGTTGATTGGAACATGGAGAGGGAATGGCTCCAAAAGGGTTAGGGACCTCAGGTGAGTTTCTTACAGAAGCAATAGATCTGATCTATTGTGTATCACATCAGTCTGTGTGAATGCACACACATGAACACACACACACACACACACACACACACAGAAATGATTGGAAAGAAGCAGGGAAATTCCTGAGGATGTACATTTGACCCCTGGATCCTGGGATTGCAGCAAAAAACATGCTCAGACATTTACTCCCCATATATAACCCAGCAGTGTGATGCAGTGATACATTGGTTTATGAACTTAATTTGTGTCACAGTTTGGGAGAAGATGGCCATGTTTGTGTTTGTTCAGGGAAGATGCCCTTGGTCATGTTTTTTCAGCTGATGTGGAGTTTGTGAATGGAAGCAAATTTTTGCGGGACACTTTTGTTTATGAACCATATTGTTTGCAAACAGGTGTTCACAAGCCGAGACATTGCTGTATTTTCAGTGGTGGTCTGGCTCTCTCTCAGTTGCTTTATTTTTGGCAAGTGTTTAGGGTTGTTCAATTTGGGGTTGTACAACTGGCTCTGAAATGTCCTACTGCCTGATTAGCTCAAGGGAAGGCACTGTGCCTTTTGTATCTTAGTGTCCTTTTACATAGCTAGAATATCCTTACCTAGATCCTGCATGAGCTAAAAGTTAAATGCAGCATCATCTTTGTATGGTATATTTTGATATTTGAAAAGGGTACTCAATCTTTAGAACAAATCTCAGTGTTTAAACACAAGAAAAAAATTGTTACCTCATACATTTTACATGGGCAAAACAGGAATTGTTTCAAAATTCTTATAACAAATGTCACTGAAAGCACAGTGTTTAAAAACTCAAACCTTTTCTTCTATGCAATGATAGTAACTGTGGTAGAAAGAAATCTGAAGACCAATACACCTTCTGTGCCTGTGGATACAGTCTCTCCATTTCTAATCTTCCTCTCAGGCTTTGGCACCGTGTTATAATACACAACATATAGCTCCTTCCAGTTACAATTCTATTCATAAACAAATAACTAAGGCTTCTGTAATGCTGTGAGGAAGTCTAGTGGCAAAAATAATAAACCTAGGACAAGTGGAGATAATTGATTACCAATTATATATGTTATGGTGAATTGGTTAAAAGTTTTGTGGAGCTGGGCATGGTGGCACAGGCCTCTAATCCTAGCACTCGGGAGGCTAAGTCAGGAAGATCGCTGTGAGTTCAAGACCAGCCTGGGCAACATAATGAGTTCCAGGTCAGTCTCAACTACATAGTGAGAGCCTGTTTTAAAAAAAAAAGTTTTGTGGGAAGGAAAAGAAAATCAGAGATATTTTTATCCTTAAAACTGAAAAATGCAAAATATAAACCCAGTAACTCTTCCCCCAAGCAGGCTGGCCCACCTCGGTCGAGGGGACAGAGCTATATCACCCAGAAGCCAGCAGAGAAGGCCCACGCGGAGGAGGCAGAGGAGGCACTTATCCCCGCCTCCCTGTCCCGAAAGCCAAAGCATAGACTGGAAACTGAGGGCTGCCTCCACCGTGGGAATCAGGGTTCAGGAGAAATGTATTTAAGAATTGAGTAGCTTTCTCCCACTGAGCAAGGGAACTTCCTTCCTGTGATTTTCAACAGCATCTCATCTGTGTCTTTGACAACATCACCAAAAGAACATTTGGTGTTTAGAGCAAGCACATTTCACAAAGGGCCCTTCTCACTCGAGTTTTCTGGTTTTCCAGAGTTTTGTGTGCTCAACTTGAAACATAATTCTTAGTTATATGAATTAGAGTGTGTCATTAGGCTCTGATGTTCGTTTCGCTTAAAGAAAGGGACAGAAGTCCCTGAAAGCTGCTTTGATTAAAAAGTAACCGAATTTTTTACTTCACTAAAAAGGCAAAAATGAGAGGAGTTTTGTGTAAGTTAACCAGGTTGACAGTATAAATATATAAAAAGCATATATGTTCTACTGTGGTATTAAAAAAGCTTGTGAAAGGAAAACCCCAAAATGAAAGAATTTAGAAAGGTGTTAACTGCTCTCTATTTAATATATTTTCATAAACAGTTCAGTTGTTGACTCAACTTAGGCCATGATTGCAACAACTTAAGAGTAAATAAAGGGTCAGGTGTTGTGCCACAAGCCTGTGATCCCAGCACCTGGGAGGCTGAGGCAAGAGGATCACTGTAACAAAAAAGTAAATAAGGATTTGACAAACTGCTATGAGCACGATTACCTAATTTAGTATTGCTCTTTAGAAGAATATCCTTTGTGCAGTTATGGGGAAATAAAATCAAATGTTCTGTGAGAAACTAATTTCTTATAAAGTGTACGTCTCATAAGGACCTTGAACAGTCTTTAAAAAAAAAAATACTGGGGATTGAACTCGGGACCTTGCACTTGTGAGACGGTGGCAGAACCACCGAACTAAATATCCGGCCCTGAATAGTCTTTTTTTTAAAAAAATTATGTCATTCATGTTTAAAGAGCAGAGGAAGGTGCTCTTTAACTAAGAAATGTGAAATCAAAGATCTTATTCCAAGTTTTTTACTTGGAAAAGAAACATAAGAAGGGAAATTTAAAGAAAGCAGAAATGAGCCAGGACAGTAATTGAGGATGACATTTTCCTACAGTGGGAGAAAGGCAGCTCCTATTTAAGCATTCTTGATGGAAACGGAAGAGGACATCAGTTCTCCTTTTTGGGTTCCTTCTGAATCTTTTGCTGCATGGTAGAGGATTTTTGACGAAACGCTTCCCTTCCTCCCATCCACTGAAAATGTGTCCCCCTCCCTCACACAGCTTCAGAGTTCAGAGATCAGAATTTTCGTTGTACCCACTCTAGCGAATGACTTATGTACGCTGTCTACCCTGTGCCAGAAATAGTGTGATGATTACATGAGATAAATACTAGATGAACCTTTCTCAAAACTTCTGCAGTTATCAAAATTAAAATTGTGAATGTTACATCCTTACAGTGGCCACTATTCATTTGCGCTGAGGACTCAGGCATCTCGAATACCATTGGACAACCCTGCAGTCAGGGTTGTTCTTTCTCTCCCTTCCTTCTTTCCTGCCTCATTCACTGAGCCTCAGCCTAACAGCAAGCGCCGAGCAAAGTGCAGAGTGGGAAGGCAGACGGCAGAGTGGAGCCAGTGTGTCTGGAAATCAGCCCTGCAGTCACCGCTACCATTGTGTCTTGAGCCAATTTGTTTCCTCATGTAAACATGGAGATGATTTTATCAGGGGTTTAAATACGATGAATATCTGTGGATCCTAGAAAAGGACTTAGAATGTGGTAAACAGTCACCAGACCTTAGCACTTACCATCACTCCTCCCTGACCTGGTCATTCCGGAATCTCAAAAACTGTGTGCTTCCTCAGAGTGTACTCTGAATTCTGTAGGGTTGATTTGCCACCCATCCAAGGGGTACCCTTGAAAATTCTGTAATCTGCCAAACCCAGAAGGCTCAGAAAAATCTAGCTTAAAGCGCTGAGTGTTCATTTGGTAATTTTTTTTGTTAGTATTGGGGATCGAACCCAGTATCGGGACCTTCACACTGAACTACATTCCTCATCTTTTTTTTTTTTTTTTTTTTTTTTTTTTTTTATCTTGCTAAATCACTAAATTGCCCATGCTGGGCTTGAACATACAATCCTCTTGCTTCGGCCTCCCAGAGTTCTGGGATTATAGGTATGCGCCACGGCCCAATTTGGTGATTTCTAAAATCACAGTGTCATATACAAACCTGTCTTTGCTCACTGCTGCCTATCATCTTGATAAGAAAAGTCATTTTTTAAAAAGTCAGAGAAACTAATGCTTGCAGCAGAGAGAAGTAATTTTTATAAGTAACCAAACTTTTTTGTTAAAGGCCATTACCCGCCCCCCAAAAAAAGCTCGTATCAGTGAGATATAACTAGAAACCAGCAATTGAGTTTCCAGAAAAGTAGTCCTGGATTCTACAAAGTTCTGGATCCTCAAAGCAAGAAGGCTGTAGTTCTCAACTGGGGTGATCTCGTTCCCCCGGAGATGCTCAGTAATGTCTAGAGACATTCTGGCTGTACTCAGGGAGACGTGCTCCTGGGGTCCAGTGGGCAGAGGCCAGGATGCTGCTGAACCTGCCACGGTGCCAGGACAGACCCCACACAATTGCTTAGGTGACCCCAAATATCACAAGTACTAAAGTTAGGAAATTCACTCCTAGACATGAATGAGCAACATATAAGGCAGACCCCTCGTGAAGTGAAAGTGATTCACTGCTGTAAGATTGAAAGGTTCTGCCTGTGTAGGAGGCATTAAATCACCTTAGCTAATCAGATACACTCCCAAGTAAGTGTCATAACACCATTTCAGATGAAATGAAGTCTTAAAGAACATAAAGAATCTTCTTAAGGGCTCTTGATGGTAGGGAAACCACTGACTGCCTGGTTCTGGGGTCTCCTAACCACTGCTCTTCTACCTTGAGTTGAGAGATCTGTCCTCTTACTAAGCAGTTTGTTATGAGATAAATTGGAAGATACAGAAGATGAGCAAACAACTCAAGCAATGCAGGTCACTGTTCAAGTCTGAAATGTTGTGCCCAGGAAGCAATGTTGAGGTGACCAGAGTTGGCAGCGTGTGGCAGAGGCAACTCTTTTAGTTGTTGTTACTCATTTACTTCTCAGTGACCAATGAACCAATCTTCCATCACTCAGCGTCTGTGTAGAGGTCATGTTCCCAATAGCTCTGGCCAGGGGTTGCTGTTCAGAGATGGTATCTTGGCTAAAATACTCACCAGAGGTCAAAGATACATATATGTTGGTTTACAGCTGACTTAGTCTGATGAGCTAGAGGAATGTAACATTCAGAAGCTGAAGAAGATCTAGCATTTGGACAATAATATCTAAATAAAAGACAGATTTTGTAGATTAGCTATGGCCTTCAACCCAGAGGGCCACCTAATGAGGACAATTTTTTAACAAGGGCTTGTCCTTACCCACTTGTCACTCAGGGAAAATGGGTTTATTCAGGAAAAGAGGAAGTTGGCCAGAAGGTAGAAAAGGATGAGGAGGGGAGAGAGATGTAATTTATTTGGTTTGAGTTGTTTTTTTCTCCAGTGGCTGGGGAGATGAGCCTACCAAAAAGTAGAAGTCGGGCCACTTGGTGTCCAATGTCACTACACTCCATGATCCTGGAATTTAGACTTATTTTGTCCATGAAACCCAAAGAAGTGAAGAAGGCTTGTCTCAGAAAAAAAAGAACTTTCTTTTTTTTTTGCCAAGTTTTTAGCCTCATTTTAAAATATAGTCATCCACTAGTAAGTATCTGTGAGGATTGATCCTGAGACCTCTCCCCATCTCCCCATCCGTGGGCACCATAACTTATATTTATTTTCTAAACCATTTGAAAGTAAGTTTCTGACATAATGCTCCTTAATCTTGAAATACTGCAGTGTGTGCTCCCTAAAAACCAGGACGTTTTCTACATAATCAAAGTGTAACTATCAAAATTAGGAAATGAATATTAGCACAATATTATTTTCAAAATGACAGGTTGCATTCATGTTGCTCAAATTGATCTAAACATGTTCTTCCTGGGGCGGGGGAATGTTATCTAATCCAGGAGCAACAGTTGCATTTCATTGCCTTATCTCTCTAATCACCTTTAACATGGAAGTCCTTAGACTTTTAACCTCCATGACTGACATTTTTAAGGAGTCCAGGTCATGTGTTTTGTAGCCTAGGAAGATGTTTCTCCATGCATGTTTAGCTTTGAGTTACATTTAGCAGCACTGCTGTGTCCTTCCCAGTGCCATATCAGGAGGTACATGATGTTATTTTGCTCCATAACTGTACTATTAATTTTTGTCACTGGGTTAAAGTAGGGTCTCTCGGCTTTCTTCACTGTGAAGCACTAGTCTCCTTTTAATTCGTGTCTTTGGAGGGCATTCTTTGAGGTTCTATAATATTGTCTGTCATTCAAGTTTCACCCACGAGTTTTAGCTTCTATTGATCTTGTTGTCTCTAACAGTTATTACAATGTCAGCTGCCTAATGTTGATCTTCAAATTGCATCATTGCCTTGCGCATATAAATTGTAAAAGGAAAAAAAAACTGTTTTCATTCCCACGTTGTTTATCATTGCTCATGAGAATGAACTTGTGTGCTCGCATCACACTCAGTGAGGGCTGACGTGTCGCCACTGTGTTCCTCCTGCTCCAGTCCTCTCATTCTTGGGCAGCCAGAGCCCCTTCTGCTGGCTCCCACGTGCTTTTGCTAGGTTGGCAACATGTTTGAGTACTTTTTACTTCGTAGCATAAGATGTTCTGTGATCACTCTGTACTTTCCCAAACCCAAGCCAGTCCTGATAGTTTTTCCAAAAGCTATGAACATGATATTTAGAAATCATGCTCTAAGTCCCAGGTAAATTCATTGTTAGTCATTAGGTAGATCTAGAAGGTTATTTATCTATTTATATATCTACCTGTACGTGTTACAAACCACGAGTTCATACTGATTCTTCCAGCTCAACCCAATTCCACAGCTTCCTGTGGAACAGCCAGTCACAGTGTATTTACTTACTTTTGCAGTCAAGAAATTTGAGTTTTCTAGTTGTGGTGGCACCATGGACTCTATGTGATTTTATTTGTTCTTGTCAAAATACATATATCCTCTTTGGAGTATCTTCTAGGAAATTTGGGTCTACATGTCTACTGTTACTACAGCCACCTTATAAGTGTGAATAATTTTTAATACACAAAGTAAAATTAGAGAGGAATTCTATTTTACTTAAATCCTACTCTACTAAAACATTAATTTTTTAATAAAGTAACAGTACATGGTGACAGGAATGATGACCACTGTAATTTTGAAGTAATGATAAACTATTTTAAGATAATTAACAGCAAACATCTGTAACAAAATCACAAGCGCTGTAATATGGTTGTAATTTATTGTTACTTTACTAATTGAAAGATGTGCTAAGTTTTGGTTAAAGTTTAAAGAAAATGGGCCAGGGATTTAGCTCGGTGGCACCCCACCTGTCTCTCAAACACAAGGTCCTGAGTTCAACCCCCAGTACTAAAAAAAAAAAAAAAAGCCATCTTTCACCCATCTAAAGAGGACAGACCCCTGGATTCTATCCAAAGCCCCCCTCAGGGTTCTATGAAAGCTCCCTGCCTGAGGAACTTTCCTAGACCTCACATCATCCATCTGCTCAAATTCAAGCCTCCCAGGCTCCTAACCCACTTCCATACCCTGCAACAGAGCCCACCTTTTCAGGGCTTCCCTAGTCCCCAATTCCTCATCTGCCCCTCTCTGGGGACTCACGCCTGTCACTGTACTAAGAACACTCTCCCTGAGGGGAGAGGGCCCCTGTATCAACAACTATTTCAGACATCAGAGGTTGCTTTCGGCCAGTGGACTTTTCTCCGAACCTCGGAGCAACGCGGGCGAGGTGCCACATGTTGGCTCCAGCAGCTCAGCTTGGCGGTGCTCAACACTAACTCAAGAGGGCAGGGACCCCAGCTCCTCACTGCGGGGGCCCAGCACTTCCGTCCCCAGGGACCTCCGCACCTCGCTTTGTAGCCTTGAGCCTGTTTTATCTTCAATAAAATGAGGCAAATAATACGTCTTCTCTAACTCAAAAAGCTGCTGACAGGATCAAAGGAGATCTTCACATGAAGGTGCCTCGTGGAAGGCACTAAAGATGTCAGCCAAGATTTTATTACCACTCCCCTGGCAAAACTGACAACAAAAATGTTTCCACCCACTGCTCCGTAGAATGTTAAAGCTCATAAATTTTTTGCCTTCTTCCAATAATTCTCTGGGGAGTTTGGATTGCAACGAAGGCTACAAAATGAGTAGTCAATAATAATTTATCAGGTCAGAATTGAGCAAAACACTGTATGATTTGAATTTACAAGTAGGAAATTCCATTAAAATGTTTAACACTATAATTTCACAGGAGTTTGTGACGATGTCTCCTGCATAACTGGAACAAGGTAAGCCTGACTGACATTCCCTAACAGATTTCGCTCTGTGTTTCACAAAATGGTGAAAGGTAAGATTTTACTGTGAGTCTTTCGGACAGGAGAGTTCACACGTCAGATTGATGCCACCACAGCACACAACTGCCGCCGCCCACAGTCTCCTAAGTGACCTGGGTCAGCTTTGCAGGGCTCCTTCTTCTCTCGCTTCCGTTTAGTTTCTCTGAATTCTATTTGGCAGTGGTGCATTACTTAAGAGGAATGATTTTCCGTTTAAAAGACCTTCTTTCAACAACCAACCAAATAAAAATTATTATACTACTTTTTAAAACCTTCCGTTTAATCTCCTCAAATGCACTAAAATACCTCAAATGTATCAAGCCTAGGTGATGATTCCTATGTGGCTCTAATTTGTATTTTCTTTTTTTAATTTTAAGCACACAGAACATCATCTTGTATTATATGAGAAAGGAGTATCCCTGTCACACACGGGAAAAAAATGTTTTTGTGGGTGTTAGCCCTCCTGATCCTCTGTGCTTTTCTGTGGAACTGTAAAGGACGACTGAAGATTGCAGACATCAAAGATAAGTACATTTTCATCACCGGATGTGACACAGGCTTTGGAAACTTGGCAGCCAGGACTTTTGATAAAAAAGGATTTCATGTCATTGCTGCCTGTCTGACTGAATCGGGATCAACAGCTTTGAAGGCAGAAACCTCACAGAGACTTCGCACGGTGCTTCTGGATGTAACTGACCCTGAGAAGGTGAAGAGGACCGCCCAGTGGGTGAAGAACCAAGTTGGGGAAAAAGGTGAGAGGTGTAGGGGTAGGAAGGCTGGGGGCATAGGGAAGCATAGAGGAAAGGAAAATGTGTTCAGATTTTAAATGGCCTTCCAAGGAAATATCTCCCAAATACGACTGTGCGCTTCTCTGCTCTTGGGAGAGCATCTGAGTACTTCCAGGCTGCCGGCTTTGCCCAAGTTACGCTCCAATGCAAGTGCCAGTGAGTGAATTTAGAACAGAGATGAAGGTACTGGCTTTCCCTGCTCTTCTCCTGGGAAGTTCTACTCCCGCCACATACATGGCAAAGGGAGTTGGGGTTAAAATCTGCAGGAAAATGTGGAAACAATTCCCAAGTGACTGTCTGTATACCTGGGATCCACTTTCACTATAAAATGGCTCCAGAGCTGACACATTTTTAATGCAAAGTTAGGAAAGGGCCTGAAAATGTGAGTGTCAGAGTCTTAGACAGTCGTGGTGGACTAGTGAGCCAGCGGACACAGAGTCTGCAGTGGATTCCGAAAGATGGCCGCCTTCTGAACCAAAAGGTTTGTATTGGCTTTGAAGGAAGCTTGAAATAACATTCGTAGATGAAGACACTGGAGTCCCCAAAGGAAAAAAACAAATGCATGTTTTTTTTCTCAATTACATCCTCATCATGTATCTGAGAATTGGGAAGCACAAATGCAATCATTTGTTAAGGCTTCAGACAATTTTTAACGCTTGGATACCAAACATCTTCAACAATATTAAATGCCCCTCCCTGCAAAAAAAACCAAGCCAAATAAATGCTTGCATTTTTTTAATCAAAAAATAAACATAAAAAATGAGAACCAAGACCTGTCCTATAAAGGTACAAGATCCCAGTAATGAATGTAACTGTAACTGTCTACCTAGAACCTACCAATAAATTCAATTTAAATTAAAAATAAATAAACATAAGTAGACTGGTACTACTCTTTGTATATGCAGAATGTTTTATAAATATTCTGTGGCTTTGCCATTTAGCAAGATAGGAATAATTGACAAATTTACATCTGAGGGAAAAAAGCAGAAAGTTTCACTCAGAAAGTGTCAGCATTCGACATTTAGAATCAGAACTAGAAGAACGGTGAACTGCATTGGAGTTGCAGAATTTCAACTGTTTCAATCTAGTCCCCTTCTCCCTCTGCTATCAGTTTGGAAACTGCGAAGTATTTCAAAGCAGGAATCTGAGTACAAGGAGGTCATGGCACCATTGTGGAAAGCAGAGGGAGGATCTGCACAAATGCCGCCTTCTGCCGCAGCTCCTTGTCTTCCTCTCTGTTCTAGGTCTCTGGGGGCTGATCAATAACGCGGGGGTGCTGGGCGTGCTGGCTCCCACAGACTGGCTGACCGTGGAGGACTACAGGGAACCTATTGAAGTGAACCTGTTCGGACTCATCAGCGTGACATTAAATATGCTTCCCTTGGTCAAAAAAGCTCGAGGGAGGGTGATCAATGTCTCGAGCATCGGAGGTCGGCTTGCAATTGGCGGAGGGGGCTACGCCCCATCCAAATATGCAGTGGAAGGATTCAATGACAGTTTAAGGTGAAGCAAATGAATTAGCTCAGGAGATAACAGCTGCTAATGTTTTACTGCATGCTTCCTATGTACCCGGCACTCTACTTAGTACTTCAAATTATCACTATTTTATAGATCATGTCAGTGAAACTAGGAGGGATTAGGAAACTCACACAAGGTCACCCAGCTAATAAGAGGTAGAGCAGAGATTGGAGCCCGAGTCTGTCTCTCTTTTTCGCTTTTGCATTAATTTATGATGCTAATAGTGGTGGTAAATTTTTATTCAACAGGCCCAGTTTGCAAACAAGAAATCACATAGAGAGCCTAAATCAGGGCATGTCTCTCCATTGTTGTTACTGGCAGCTGCAGACACAACATTACTATTTTATTAAAACCTTCAGTAGAAGAGTATTAGTTTTCAATCAGCTGTTACATGCACTCTGTCCAGTCTTTGCAGCTGCTTTCAATGGGAGAGGCAAGGAGGGGTGTGTTTAATCCATCTTACCTGGAATCAGAGCTTGTCACTATAAATTCAGAGCCCTAATTTGTATATGGCCTTTTCAATCAAAGTTCTTACAGGAAAGGGTGGCACATTAAAATTGGATAAAGGAAGTAAAGTTTACTTACAATATTACTTACAAGGGAGGTAGGTGTACCAGAGAGTCCTTGAGCATAGTATAATATCTAGGGGTGATAACAGCAGGGGCATTTCTCTCCTTGGGCCCAAAGGGATAAGGAGACAGGGAAGTTTCCAAAACCTGGAGATGCAGTGGTTGTTAGCTTCCACTGAGGGATGCAATAACCAGTGTTGGCATCATAGGAGGAGGACCTAGCCACCCCTTCTCCTCCTGCCTCTGATCTTCCACTGGCACCTCCAAATTACAGCGCCACCAGCAGCCAGAGTACAGATAACAGGTCTGCCTCCAGGATGTGGTGCTGGCAGAGGAAGGAATAAGGGAATGGAGAATCAAATGAAAGCTATTCAGCCAAGTGGTATTGTGAAAAGTAATGTGTCCATTTACTCATTCAATTCGTATTTGCTGAAGCCATATAGTAGAGTTTCTGAGCTATACCATGAACCTAGGAATAGCTTACTATAAAAAGTTTGAGTATTCCACTGGGGTTGGCAAAAATAGACCAACTCCCTTTGCCATGTGATCAGGTTGCCAAATTAACTCTCCTAGGAGATAAACAAAATAAGGGTAGAAAAATGCTTCCAAAGTCTTCATGTAAATTGGAGGATCTTGTTAAATAAGGATTGTTCAAAGCAGATTTGCTGATAACAAATCTGGAACGGGACCTGAGTATCTGCCTTTCCAACAAGCTCCCGAGGAGATTGTGTTAAGCAAGTCACACGGCCAATGGTGCACTATTCACAGCGAGTAGCAAGGTCATGGAGAAACTCCTTGAATCTCCCTGGTTGACCTTTGGCTCCACTCTCTAAGCAGCAGTTATAATAAAGCTTTAGTAGACTTAGAAATGTACTCATTTTTTAAAAAGATATTATAACTGAAAGGTTTGTGGAATCTGCAATGCAGCTATCACATGTCTGAAAGTAATCAACAAAGTATCTTTATGAATCACGGAACTAGTATTGGGAGTACTATTATGCTGCAGGCAACAGCCCAGTGGCTGTGCCATAGTAGAGTTTAGGACATTGGTCCAGCCAAAAGGGGATCAGGGCTCTCTGAAGCAAGCATATTGGTTTCATACCGGTTTGCTTACGTGTTGTACCTCATTACTTGCTGGCTTCAGAACTTATCAGGCTCAATCACGTTTTGTTTAGAAAAAAAAAAAAAAACAACAGTTCAGGATGAGGATGAGGTGCCTGGATCAGTCTCACTGCAGTTAGGGAACTGCACAGAACCTCACATTTATCATTGCTGTCTTATACTTTTGTGCATTTTAAGCACTAATCATGGGTCACAAAAAGGTAAGAGTAATACCATGAAGCCTAAAAGGCTTATATTAGCCCAGTAAAATGTGAACGTTCTGGCAAACTTTCATAAATTATTTCTAATTACAGTGCATCATTTCCTATGGGAAAAATTCATTCGGCACCCATTGATTGTGAGTTCTAGAAGAAACTGATGACAAATACCTAGGTGTGACTGTACCAGAAACTTAGTGGGGTGGCCTGTCCCTAGATTTTATTTTCATGAGTGGACAAGGAAACAAGTCTTCCCAAAGACTCACTGGAAACTGCTATTTCCAAGATCCAGCAAAGTATACATTAGTTATATATAGCAAAATCTAAAATAAATCAAATCATGATTTAAGTATAGAGCTTTTTTAAATAGGGCTTTTAATAGAGTTTTAATAAAGCTTTAAATAGTTTTTAAACAAGTCAGATTTCTGTAAAATGAGTAATTATTTCTTCATATATTCCTGGTGAAAATAGACATTAAATTTAGGAAAAGAAGCCAGGCGTTGTGGTGAATGCCTGTAATGCCAGCACTCGGGAGGCTGAGGCAAGAGGATCGCTGTGAGTTTGAGACCAGCCTGGGCCCATAGTGAGTCCCAGGTCAGTCTCAACTACATAGTGATTTCTGTCT